AGCACGGTTCTTTTAGATCCATGATAAAGAGAAAAAAAGAGAAACTACTTAAACAGACTATATAGAATTAAATCAGTGTAAAAAGCGAAACATTCATATTATGCCTCTCGATGTAAAAGAACACAAAAACGTGTATTCGTTTCTATACTTTCACTTCAAATATATTTGAGTCAGACATGGGACTACACGTTATCATTATCAGTTGTTTTGTAGATATATAATCTGTGTAGTTTCTATATTTTATTCACATGTCCAAGTCAGATATCTGTATATTTGAAGTGCGGTTTTGTGTATTTCTTTTCTTTTACATCGAGAGGCATAATATGAATGTTTCGCTTAGATCCATGACCGTCTTTTCCCCATAAAAAATACACACGATAATTCACGAATATCTGTCGAATATTCGTGCACCAAACACTGAGTCATTTGCAAAAGGACACAAAAAAGCAATAATCATAACACAATATAGTTTGTTTTCACAGCTCTACCACATTTAATAGCTAAGTGAACATTAGTCAGCATACCGCTACTATGACTAATAAGTAATTTCTTTAGTTTATTATCAATGTCGTTATATACTTTTATTCGTTTACGCGCCTGAATATTTGATTCTTCAGCTTGATGATGTTGGTATGTATGTTCATCACGTAATAATTGCACGGCGACGATAAAGTGATGCATCAATATTGGGAAGTGCTGGAAATAGAACACCAGTTGCAAGGCCAGGATTTTCGTACGATACACATAATTATTGCATGAGATCTTTTTTGTGTATGAGTTACATCATATCTATGCGTGAATGTTTCAGAAGATTCTGATGTAACTAGGTAATTTCAGAGTATATATAGTTCTGGGTTTTCTGTGTGAGAGGGTGTGTAATTTGTCTTCTGATATAGAATAAAAATAGACACAAATATAACAGTGATGCTCTATTAAATGATAAATAGTTATGAATAATTAACTAAGTGCTAAATTTATACAAGTCTTTTGTCTAAAATGATCCGTATTAAACAAGACTGCCTGTGGCAGGTTCTATGAGAGAGCCTGATGCTTCACCATGGCAGGCAAAAATCATACGGACATGCTTGCGCAGATGTGCAGAGAATATTATGGCAGACCATCGAAGAGCAGTGCTCTGTCCTGCACCACTGCAACACTCAGGGGTGGCGTTGGCAGGCAGCCTTTTTTTGTATAGGGATGCCACTGTCTCATAGTCTAGTTTATTTGGAATATGACGTCTTCGTGCACTGACTAATCACCATTAACTCTCCTTCATCGTAATTCATCCCTTTCTCCTTATGTTTTTCTCGTTATGTTCATTATATTGCCATTCATTCTCCCTACGAGTAGGTTTCGTATACGAATCGTTCTAATTTATGTTCCCGCGTAAATAGAACAGAAACAAAAAGTTTTGCGACCGTCATGAGAAAGGTAGGCCGTAGTAGACACTGCTGGCTTTCAAATTAAAAAAAGTGCCCAAAAGCAACATTTTTCCGCTGGATGACAGACGTTTTGGTGAAACTGATAAAATCAAGGAACGAAGACTAGATTTTTTGAAAAAGTTTAAAAAAGTAATTGTCTCTGTATCAGGCCGATTTTCGCATAAAAATTTTAGAGGACGTGTAATCAATTCAGAATTTAACGCTCTTCAAGGCGGTGGGCTTAGTTTTTTACATCGCGTTATGAGATCGCAGAAAAATGCAAAAAAAGAATTTTGTGCTTGAGAACTGTGTAATTTTTCGTTTTTTGTATTTCACTCGTAACTCCGTCTTTTTTCATTGCATAAAAACTATTTACCGATGGGTTTACAGTAAATTGCATGCAGAATTCACTGAAAAATACTGCAGGTCGAACGAGTTTGAAATAGCGAAGTTATTTACAAAATACTAGAAAATCATTTATTCTAGGCCACCCAGTACGATTATGAAAAAGCTGATTGGGATCTTTTTCGGCAGAATTTGAGTTTTATGCAATGTTAATCAATTATTACGTTTTTGACGAGCCTTGATGAGTCTGTAAAATATGTTTGTAAGGTAACTTTTGGCATTACGAAAAAAATGTATTATTCATATGATAATAAAAATGATCCCGAAACACAAGATTTGATTTAATGGAGAGCTACAGAAACTATATCAGAAATGGAACAGATCACATAGGAAGTAGCTAAAGAGTAAACTTTAGGGTGGATAAGAAAAACGGTGAATGGGTCATGTCTCAGTACAAACTTGCACATGCTAATGCCAAGAAAAACTTTTTTGACAAAATATCTAGTATAGAGAGAAAACGATGTAATTAACAGAAACAAATACTGTTTAGGAACAGATCACAGATATCGTTATATATAAAACGTTGCACTACCATACCTTCGCGAACATCTTAAAAGATACTGGTATCTCTCTATTGTTTCTTTTATTTACTACACGTTACAAAACTCCACAATTTATCGAAGTAAGTGTTTGGATCAGATGAGAAAAACTTCACTGAATGTTTACTAGATCTCCCAGCTGGCATGCTTTGAATGTAGGAATTTTCACAGAATTGGGTGTAAAAAATTACAATATTAGAAAGGAACAGTGTAGAAACTTGAGCAACATCTTGTTTTGTAACTAAAAGTGTGCTTTTCAAAATCTACTCTGGGATCAACTCGGTTTACTCGATCATGTTTTATCATAATCAAAATACCAGCATCTCCGAAAAACTGGGGTGAAATTTTCATTACTGCATTTTAGTTGTAGCGCCAATAGGATTGAGCGGACCGACTTAACCCCAGAGTGGATTTTGAAAAACATATTTTTAGCTACAAAACAAGACGTCGCTCAATTTTCTAGTGTTCCTTTCAAATATTGTAACATGAATAGAAAAGCTAAAAACGGTAACACACTCGCACTCTGGTAGTAGAGTTACGCGATTCAGTCGAATTTTCGTCTCGTGTTGTCGATACAAAGCCATTCAAGAAAAACGATTGATTTTTTGAATTTTTATGTGAATCTAACATTGAGTTACTCCCAGTTAACTTATCTGCACGTAAAGAGCAGCTTGACTGTAGCCAAGATAGCAACAACTCACATGTGTATACCTAATATTTTTCGAATATGTCATTTGATTCAGTTGTTATCATAGATTAGAAATTAGATAGCAGTTTTTCTTGTATTCAAAGAAAAAGTACAGAAAAAACGAAAAGAACACATAATCAGCCTTTGCTGAAATTTGCCCATACACTTTGTGGCGCCCCCAAAATAGTCAAGCGAATCTTTTTTTCTTGCCTGTTTTATAGAAAATTGTCAGCTCCACAAGACGGAATAAGTTTTACGTGAGGCCTATACGTTTACGTTAGACATTCTTGGAAAATACGTGAAAAAAATGATTTTTTCAGACTTTTACAGCGACCGGTCATGGCAAGGTGCTGGAGACGGTTTAGGTGCTTTTCTTAAGTCCACTGCGAGAAGTGCAACCCTCTCGAAAAGTGTTCATCTCTCCTCCCCGAAGGATTTTTATAATTTCTTGAAGAAGTATCAACTCGAAACAACCGAAGCCAGCGGAAAAGCATATCCAACTGTGCATGTGTTCTATCTCGAAAGAATCAAAACCCATGTCATCGACCCTAGAACAGAAAAACTCAAGTCGACAGGTAAAGGTTTTGTGATTTTTTGATTCGAGGAGTCTAATTGTGTTAATATATAGGAACAATTCAAGGAATCCGTCACATGCACGAGTTTCAAGTCTTGTCTAACAAATCGATCAATTATCGTCGTACTTCAAGATCTCGTCATTCGGATACATTCTCCTTTCGATAGGGTTTTATATTAAATAAACTGTTCTGTATGACAAGAACAGTGATTCAATGAGATTCACTATCCTTATTGGCTCTCATAGGCTGACTATTATCCTTCCGAAACACGCAAATGAGTGAAAGTGAACTCACTTTACAGGTATTCGAGTTAGAAAACGCTACATCAATAATAGTAGAAGGGTACACAGAATGACTAATGCCCATTCAGACAGAGAGATGTGGATTGCTATTTTTTGAATAACTTTTGATAGGAACATGATAGAGAGCTACGGTTTTCACCGTTGAAAAGAAACACGCATCTAATTACATAACACAATAACTTTTGAAACTATTCGCCACGATTAAATTTAAAAAACACCATGAAAAGTGATGAGTTTTCATACCGTTGTTTAAACGAAATTATCACAAACAGGATCAAAAGACCAGCCTGAAAGTCATTGTCTTATACGATTCGATGCATTTTCGTCGGCTCTTTCCAAAGGTGAAAACCGCAGCTCTCTATCATGTTCCTGTCATAAGCTATTAAAAAAATATCCATCCTCTTTGCTTTGTCGAAATGGATAATTTACGTGTCACAGACATGTACCGAAAGATGCGACTAGATCTCAACGATTAGATGAACAAGTTCCAAATTTTTATCGGTCAAAAATATTTTCTAGTTCGGTGCTACGCATTGCACAAAAAAAAGTACTAAAAAAACATTTTTCCAGAAAGGTGGTACATTTCCCATGGATTCACCCTGTTCCATCTCTGAATTTCACCCCTATCAAACATCGGCTTCTGTAGTTTCAAGAGGGTCAGAAAAGAGAAGAGAAGTACTCTTAAGAGTTTCATTTCAGGCATGTTTTGAAAATCGACTGCTATATCAGCGTAGAGTTATATCTCACTTTAGAAATTGTTTTATTTTCTCTGTCGCATTTTTATACATGATCAACAAAGTAGTCGAAATTACCCAGATAACACTTATTAATATAAACAGCTTATTTTCTCAACAAAAATCAATTTTCATAACACAATAATGTGTGAGACGGTTCATTGATTTAATAATTTTGAGCTTTTAGTTGGTCAAAGTTTGTGAAACCACTAAGATTATTTAATTATTCAGCTTTGCTATTTTCTAATTCATTGTCTATTTTGGCCTCAGAATGATGTGTGAAAGATAATTTTTCAAATTCGCTTAAAAATCTGATGTATTCAAATACAGACAAATCATAATGTAGCTTTTTACAATCAGTTTGTAATACATTTATCATTGACATATAATTTAATTTAGATAGTTCATATAATTTGATTAAAGCATATCCATCATAATGCTGTAATACATTCAGAAATGTATTCAAGTGTTTTTCTTGACACCAATGATTTATATCAGATGCCAACCATTGATTAATCGGTTTCTTAAGATAATCGCTATTATGTGACGACAATACCACAGGTGTTTGTTGTGTGCTATTATTGACAGTGACAAAACTAGATGGAACTATTGATTCAGTAATTTTTTTCTCTGGCGGTGGTGACGGTAATTTTTGTGCAGACGAGAAATGAGCTCTCGGTTTCTTATTCATACTGAATAATTCTGCTTTCAATTTGTCAAATGCTAAATTAAATTCATATTTAGTAAAATCAATATATATCAACTGCGATAACATTAAACCAAGCCAACCATCAGCTTTATATTTCTTTTGCATTAATAATGGTATTAATGTTACTTGTCTTGAATATGCATATAATGCTTCAGCACGACAATAATTACTACGCTTATAATTATCACAAATTAAAAGTAGAAGACAATCGGTTGACTCAATGGCTTCAGCCATTGCTTCCATTACATTTCCTCTCATATAATTAAAATCAACCCAAACTGTATAGCCATTTCCAATTAAAGTATCATATATACGATGACATATATCTGTATTATCATGTGAATAACTTATCATCATATCAAAGTGAAAACCATTAGACTGATTAGGTGACGTTGGTCCGGTTTTGTCAATAAGATTTGCAGTCGTTGTTTTATCTAAGTTTAATTGATTTGATAGTATGGTTAAATTCTTAATGGACAAAAAGTTTGTTCTTGATACGTTCATATCATTCTTCACTGCTGGACTTGAAGTATTTTCAAAAGTATAATTTAAATTCCATAATATACCTAAAGGATTGGGCAACAACAAATGAAAAATAGGTGTGAGCATAGTGGAAAATCGAAACAGATGTGAACAATTGGAATGAGACTATTCCAAAATACGATAAACGCCTGCTATTCTTTTTCAAATATAATGGGTAAGACGGGAGGACATCCATGAAAAGGTCAAGTCTCAAGTGCTATGATGCGTTTTGCTGTTTGTGGAATAACTTCAGTTATTTTACAACAGATCTTTAGATAGAAAAAAATGAAAGCAAACAATGTCATTGTTTGAAGCAGAACATTATAGAGAGATCGACTGAAAATCACAGAAACATTTCAGTCTCTGAAAAGTTCATCCGATAAACGCAAAAAATGGTATTTGGAAACGTAAATGTCCTTGATTTAGTTTCTGACTGCGGAACTCTCACATAAAAAACTGCGTTACATAAAGCGTATTTTAAATTCAAATCCAGACAGATTTGAACGCATAACTGTGTTTCGTTTTGAAACGGTAATACAATGTGCATGTTTTAAAAGACACTGTCCCATCTAAAAGCGTGCGCTCCTAAGATTTGAAGACGTACCTTCATGCATCTACTTCAACGTAGTTGCAGTTATCGCTCTTTCCTTCCCATTTGTCTCTTAGTCCTGTTAGAAAATAAACCTTGTTGTTCAGATAAAATAAAAGGTTTATCATCTGATATGACGGACACTCTCTAAGATCTGTCATTAGCGTAATTTCATTTACTTGTATGCAAAAACAATAAACAACTCTCGTATTTCTTAATTATAGGACGAGCCGTTTAGAATCTGTTGATGCTTCCTTTTTTTACCGAACATTTTACGTTGAATATTGTGAATTAAGAACTGGAAGTTTTGTTGACTTTGAAGATGAAACCGTTTGAAAACAAATGTGACGCAATGTAATAGTGTAATAGTACGCAAACGAAAGTATCCCATTTCAGAAGAGCGTATGAGTAAAATTAACTAGTGTTGTTGTCGCATAGGCCTTATACAATTAAAATATGATTTGCACAGACAAAGCCACGTAGATGATCCTTTTTGTGAATGTGGGGAGCCTGAGACCGTTGAACACTACATACTACATTGCCTATTTTATAAAAATGAATGGAATCATTTATTTAGTCAAATAGCTTCTTTTCTGCCAAATATGATTATTATTTTTCCCTGACTACCACTGAAGAATAGTATTCAACAGGTCGATTTAGTGCAAATCTATAAATTGATGATAATCAATATTAAAAACATTGAACGTTTTATGGATTACGACATTTTTGCGTGATTCTGCTCATCACAACACCACAGAAAAAGTTAGTGTCCGTTCTATCACGTTCTTTTTCGCTCTTGACTTATTGCATTTTCACTAAAATCTGTGCACTTTGACGAAATCAGGCCACGAAGTCATTTTGAATAAAATCGAAAAAAATTCAATGAAAACTTGGATACAGGTAAAAAAAATCGCAGAATTTTTAACGAAAAACTGTTTGAGATTGTCGAAGGGTTCCCGTGCATTTCTGGAGAACCAGATCTCCGGAAAATTTTCAGCAATTTTTTTTTAGCTCAAAGTGTTCCGAAATGATCAATATTGACAGAGTAATTTTCCGTATAATGAGGACATTCTAAGGCTTCTGTGATGATCCGTTCAAGCGCTACGCTTACTGAAACTAAGAGCCCGTGGAAGTTTCTTGTCGTACCCCAGTTTCTTGGCAATGGTTGTAAAACCTTCAAAATACATGCCTTATGTCGAAAATTGATTACTCTATTACAATATTGATCATTTCGGAACAGTTTTGAATAAGAAAAGGTTGTTGAAAATTTTCCAGAAATGCTGCTTTTCCCGCCCTCCGCGGCTTTTAAATTTTGTTCGATCAAATAATATTTGAATGGCATCGAAAATATATTTTTTAGATCCAGTTTTCCATATAGGATACGTAAAAAACAATTTCGAAGTTACAGTTGAAGCTAAAATGGAAATTTTCTGCAATTTCCGAAAACTAGGGCGTTTTTCAAGGATTTCAAAATCTTCGCCCCTAAGAAAAATTTTTAAAACATTAAAACACGCATATTCTGATTCAGCTCGATGAGCTCTACTAAATCATGTATAAAAACCAAAACAATAAACAGCACTCGAATTTTGAATTTCCGGCCTCGCTTTATACTTAAATATAAATCGGTTTAATAGTAAAGACATTTACAGCACAGTACCTGCAGGTTAAATCTAACCCAACCTATCTGATTAGGCTCAGGTTGCAAAAGTTCTACGTTGGATTTGGTGATAGACCGTATTTTAATATTTTTCTACATGAAATTCTTTTTCTAATTTCAACGCCATCTACGCCTCTATTCTTTGAACAGGTGTAAAGGATCCGAAAATAATTGGTTGCTATTGTGAACAAACTGCTGGATGTTCATGTCTGTTATTCTTCCTCTCATTCGTTATTCTCTCTCATTTTACATTTTCTCTACTCTAGTGTAGGACAGGTTAGGTTGAATGAGTAATGATCAAGAATGAATTGTTCGATATCTTCTGTATGGAACGGTGCGTGTAGCTTGAAGTAGACAAACCCTTACCGCCCATGGGGAAATTTTATCGATATTTCACGTGTGAGGGCCCGTGAACTTTCGCTTGAAATTTCACAAAATTTGGAAGGTAAAGACAGCAAGTTTCTCGACTTCGGGGCCATGCACTTGCAACATCAAACGCGTGTGTACGAGTGGAGACTGTTCACTTGTGTACACAAGTGAACCACCCCACGCGTGATTACGCGTGAAAATATCTCGACCATGGTGACTATGGTCAAGGTATAACGCAATCTTCATCCATGCAACTTCATCTCTAACTTTTCTACGTGTGACCGCTAGTTTCTAAAAAATCACATTTTATATATATCACCAAAAAGTAAGAGTTGATCACGCGGCAGCGTGACTCAGTCGGCTAACAGGCGGACAACGTACTGTAAACATACAGAGTTCGAATCCCGGCGACGGTGGTCACGTGATAGACGGTGGTTGTCTCTAGTGTTTGGATAGACCCTTTAGACACAGATGCAATGGCGTAACCCGATTTCAGTGCCATTGGACTGAAGAGATGAGAGTTAAAGTTTAAAAAAGAAACGTCGAAAAGGAAAATGTCGATAAAAAGAAGCGAAAAACGTCGAACTGGAAAATACAGAAGAGCAAATATCGAAAGGAAAACGTCGAAAACGTGAAGATTCCTTTCTGTTTCTTGAAAATAACTGAAAGAGATATTTTATTAAATCGCATATACAAAGAGAGAATGATAAGGCCCATAGATCGTGATCTAATTTTTCGTTTATCCGAATCAACAATGATAATCCAGCCAGTAGCTGTTTCGCACTGATTTCTGTGTTCAGAAATCATCTATTTAGTGTGTCCAATCGTTGTTGAAAAGCTGCTGTATTTTCTGATTGCTTAGGAGCCGATGTCCCTGCACCAAGTTGCATAGTGATGTGTTTAGTGAGTGGGGTGAGGGTGAGACGTTCATTGTAGCAGGCATACCAAACTTCACCATACTTTACTTTTTCATTGAGTGACTATAATTGCTACGAGATTGGGAAAGGCGTACTGGTCTGACGGGAACTAATAATAGTTCTAATGATAAAAATATGTATATCTTTTTCAATGATTTTCAAGGAACAGAAAGGAATCTTCTCCGTTTCGATATTTTCCTTTTTCCGATTATCCCCTTTCGACGTTTTCCTTTTCGGCATTTTACTCTTCTACATTTTCCTTTTCCACGTTTTGCTCTTTTTTTATCGACATTTTCCATCAAGACCTTTTCAAAAGATGACATTCCATGATCATAGTTTAAAGAAGTATATACCTGATGCAGCTTTGATATTTGCTTGTCCATCCGCTGTTTCTCGCACATTGATCAATGTATCAATAAATTCTTTATTAGTTTCCAATTGTTGTTGTATTAATACATGAAATGATAATGTCCATAATATATCATAGGCTAATGGATGAAATTTGGCTATTTCAATTAATAAAGGAACTTTATTTGATTTAGCTATCTCAACTTGAACAACGTCATGTATAGAAAATGCTAATAAACCTTTTAAAAATATTTCAATTGGCACACTCCTAAATGAACGTGTTGGACTATGAAAAGCTGCTTCTAATAATCGAAAATATATCTGTATTGTTGTATCATTCATTTTTAATTTTAATAAATCATCTTCGGTAGATACATAGGCTAATAATAAATATGCTGTTAATCTTGTACGATCATATTTAACTTCCGTTAATGGATATACTCGTTGGGCAATTAATGGTATATCATGAGTAAAAAAGCGTAATATATCAGTATCATCACAACATATACAAAATAGAACAGCAATTAAATCAATTAATATTGTTTCATTATTTGTCCATGTTGAAATAATTGATTCATGTAATTTTTTTTCGGTAACTATACTGAAAAGAGAATGAAAGACTTGCTTATCATTTTTTAATACTTCAGTTGATTTGATATTAAGACAACAATGTGTTATAAAACTTATTATTCCCATTAGGCAATGCACTATTTCATTTGACCATTGATTAACATATTTTGAATACACAGTTATGAATGAACTGTAATAGAGTGAATAAAAGTGTTCAAGTACCGGTTTTGCGTCAAAATCATTAACATTACGTATATGATTTGACATTGAAAATGAACATGTTCCTATAAAAAACTCATAACCTGATTTCCATATAAAACTTGAACCAGTATACTTAATCATATCTTCAATATATGTTTGATACCATGAACCAAACATAAGCTCTTTAATTTTCGTATTTAATAGCATCAAACATTCACTATTCGAATGTTTTGGATGTTCATGTTCAAAATGAGATATTAGTTCAATCCACTGGCCAATAATTAATAGACCACTATCAAAATGAAGACGATCTGATTTATTTACTTTATTTAGTATTGAAAATAATAATTGAAAATAGTTTTTATTCAATAATAAGTTTGTTAAACGTTCAACGTCAGTAGTAGCTGCCTGTTCATCGACAAGAACTACAAGTTTCATATTAAATACAATAGCTTGTTTGAGATAATTAGTTTCAACATCTGATAATTTGTGATCTCTTTGTTTATACCATCGATAGAAAAGACGCCAAACTAAAAAGTGAATTAAATCAAAACTTGGATGTAATAGAAACTTTAAAATATTATCATTTGGAAGATTTTCAGCATCAATGAGAATCTCAGTAATCATTTTTAAAATATGATTGTCTAACGGCACTATATTTTCAATGGTACTATAATTATCTGTTTGTTTTAACATTGAATCCATAATACCTAATCGATTAACAATTTCTTCCATTTTTAAAAAGTGTATTCTATATCAAAATATTCTTGATTAATCTAAGAAATAAAAAATGAAAGTTTCATGACAAGCCTTTTAATCAAATTAATATTATATTCAATCTACAAACGAATTTGCGAGCCATTCCTTCACAGTTAAGAGCTTTTAAAAAAGAAACTATGTTTGCTTTCTTTTTCAAGTGTTAGAGTAACATGCCATCCCATATCTATTCATATGCTCAGGTGAAGATTAAGGAATCAATAATATTTTCTAGCGTTTCACAAAGCGCACTACTCTCTAAAAAATATCCGTACTTTACAAAACGAAAAAAGGATTTCTATTAGTGACAAATGCAAATGCCTTTATTCGTTTTTTAGGTACGGATATTTTAAGAGAATACATGCTGAAAAAAATGCAACCTCACCAATGTGTCTGCCGAGAAAAAGTGTCTTGTATGTGACTAGATTGTGTCTTCAAAATAATCTATATGTGTTCAATGTGTCTACTAGTAAGTATATAGAAGTCACACTGGAGTCGAATGAAAGACGTTTGAACGAGACAGACGCTTCGGAGTCACGTCATCCCGCCTTCCCCGTATCTCTAAGTTTTTAATCAAAGTCTTGCACGAAATGCCAACGTAAGAGGCTAATAGGACTAATAACCAATGTGCCTGTGTGGTTCAGTGGTGAACACATTCGTAGGCGAATACGCTGAGTTCAATTCTTGACAGGAACAAAAAGAATTTAATGCAGCTTTTTCAGAGACACATCAGAGCAATTTCAAAAAAGGCGCTAAAATACGACTAAATGAGATCCGACTTACTTGTCTTTGATGCGGCAAGAGCAAAGACGCTATAAAGTGACTACCAGGCAAAGTCGCATCATGCGTCTTAAAAGAAGACACTAAAATGCGGCTTTTGGAGTCCGAATTATGTGTCTTTCTAGAACTCGCATTTCTTTTTAGAGTGAAAGAAACCGAGCTTACTGTAACAATGAAACGTACATAGTTTTTCGTCTAAGAAATTGAATGTGAGCCAGTGTACCGTGCACAAGAAACATCGAGTAAATTAACTTTTATCTGCATTCATTTCCACGTTCTCAGCGAATTCTAGTAAATCTGATGTTCACAAAAAATGAATTTTCCCGACTGTTCGCTACATTTTTCTACAAAAACGAGACTTTGATAGAAATGTCCTAAAACTCCCAAGGTTCTTGAGATGAAAAGGAAGTAAATCGCATAAAAAAATGTTGCTGTGTATCATTCGATAGATCTTGATAAGACGAATCTGGCAGAACCAATTTCAACACTTGGAAACACCACATTTGGAATTTTCAATCTAAACATCTATTTTCTCGTTTATCGAGTAGGAACACTTTCCGAGTCCATTCTAACGGCTTCTCGCATACTCAGTTACGTTAACCTTCCAACGAAGAATCGAATGGTATATGATAAGTTCGAATTCGCTCTGCCAGTTCAAGGCGAGCTGCTGCATTACAGAAAAGGATGACGGGACATTTTTGAAGTAAAATATATTTTTTTAAAAAACGACAGAAAATATTGAACTTAAATGTTGACTGCCAGTAGAAAATTACGGAAAATAAAGGGATAAAAGAACAAGCACAAAAGATTGCATGTTCGTACAACTACAGAAAAAATAAAATCGAAAAAAGTGGTCAGACGTTTAGTGCGAAAATGAAACTTTTCAAGGTATTGTGCGAATAAAATTTAAAAAACTTTTTTCTCATGAAAAGTTGTGTCATCCAGTCATCTATCAATCGTTGTTTTTGGATTATACTAAGTGGTTCCTGACTTCTTAATGGGAATCAGTAACGGAATAGAAGCTAAAAGCTCTAAATTTCAGTTACAAATCTAGCTGAAAGAGAAAACAAGACGGACATTTAAGAAAGTAGCTATTCTTTTCGTCCGATAGAACCCAGATCAGGGCTAACTAGATCCAGACGTTCCTACCTGTGTGGGGACCAGTGAAGTTTTGTGTTTTGAATAATTAACAAAAATAAAATTCAAGAAATTTAGCAAAGCTAAAAAACTTTATTGATTTTTCACACTTGAGACAAGAACGATACAATGACTGTTCGTTTCACCTATATGCTTGTGCTGGGACTTGCATTCTGTTTCTTATCTAACGTTCGTTTACAGAATAGGGCTACTACATTACTATTACTCGGTAATAAGTAATAATTATTATTACTTTTATTACTTATTACTTTTCATCACTAATTGCTTTATTATTTATCGTTTTGATACTATTCGGACTTCAAGTGATTGGTACTAGTAGCAAGGGATAAAGTTGAAACTTTTATTTTATTACTTATTACTAGTAGTAATAAGGAGTAATGTTATTACTTATTACTAAAATGCTAATAAAAGCTTCAAGTAATAAAAGTAATAAGTAATAACGAGTAATAAGTTGTTACAGTATTAAAGTAATAACAAATGCGGTATGAATTAGATAAGTGGAAGAACTAAGTTATTGTCACAAAGATATCAGTTATTGGTCAAACATTTACGGAACTCCCAGAAGAAAACCATATACAAGAGGCTTCTATTATATTGTAGCTGTTCTTGCCTTGCTTTCAGTCCCGTTAATTACCGTAACGACTATTTGTCTTGTCGACTGTGAAGATAATGAAAAAGCTATTTGCATTGGAGTTTGCCTTTACGATCTCAAAATATATTAATATATAAATGTAGATCTTTTATTTGACAAGGTAACGCTCGTCTGCACGCGTCACTTGCCTTTACGAACTTATAAATGCGCTAGCGAACTCTCTTCTGTGGCTTTTAAATCCCAGCGAGTCTAACCACGGTATCTTGTGGATTCTTCTCTGATTTTATGTGGACGTGGAAGATTCGTCATCTAATGTAAATATTAAAAGGATTTTCGAGACGCACCAAAGACTCGCATATTACTGGAAATATTTTCGAATCCAAGACAACGCTCACGCGACCCTTTGGTCGGCGTTCACAACCAGGATAGGTGAGGAATACTGCGAACTCTAATCGAGTCATCATGATAGATTATCAATATAATAACTCACGGTGTCAAAATAAGTTCCGATATTGTGTTAATGTCTCAAAATGAGAATCGAAATCCAATTGATGATTAAAAATATTTTCTATCGTCTTTTTCTTTTCTTATCACTTTTTATTACTTTTGTTACTTTTGAAATTTATTACTTATTACCAAGTAATAAGTAATAACGCTTTTGGTAGTAGTAGTAGTATATTGCTTTATTCATATGATTAAAAAAAAAGTGGTACAAGAAAAAGATATGAAATTGAAATTACAGCTCCACTTTTACATTGACTATAGACGAACTTCGTCCCTGTAGTCCACACATCAAAAAAACCACATAGAAAAGCCATCTTAGAAAATATCACGATGATCACACCATTATGTACACGTAAATTATAAGAAGTTAATTAAGGAGAAAAGGAGAAAACACAGTTGCGATAGAGCTTCAATTAG